GGCGGTGTATTCCAGCAGAGACAGACCCAGCACCAGAGACTGGTTCTGGTGATGCAGGTGACTCTTGGTGAACATCTGCTCACATAGGCAGCAAGAAACATGGGGAAACGAAGCACCTGAACAGCATCTTCCTCCCTCTGGCCCCTGCTGCCGAGGCCAGCAGAACGACCGAGAAGCACAGGGCCTTGTCTCTTTACACAGGGCTACCTTTTCCAGTGTGTTGTACTAACAACATTACTGAAAAATAATACTACAGAAAAGCATGTTGTTTTCTAACGAACGGGCTTGTGAAAAAGCAGGTATCTGAGGCGAGGTTCTGTAAAATTACCCTTTGGTAATATAGCAGTAAACTGCTTTCTCATTTTCAGAAGAAATTCTTCAAGAGGTGGCAGTTGCCACAAGCCCTTAAGTGGCTAAGAGAAAGTTTCCTTGTGGTGTAGGGCTTTTTAAAGGACACTTTAAGACGAATGAAAACTAGGACATAGAGATAACAAGCATAACACCTTTCTCGTTCTTCCTGAGCATTCAATACACAGATCTTCTCTTCTGGGTTATTCTCCTATTATGGCTGTCCGATCTGGACATTTAGGAAGCAATGATACAGCCACTTGATGTAGCAGTTTTGCTGCTGTGAACTACACCTTTTCTTCTAAATGGTAAGAACTTTTTGCTGAGAGATGCTCTTATCAAATCCTCTTCAAAACATTTTTGAAAGCCTACATGTTGATAGAAAATGTACAGATATACATGAATGCTGTATACTTTAGAAGAGAGAGCTTCGGAGAAACTGGTTTGTAACCTCCCCAGTTCGGAGGAAAGAGAAATCATTTTCTTTTGTGCTAGGCTGAAATGCTATGCAATACAAAGTCCAAATTTATTAAGTTACAGCCATAGTAAATGGCAAAAAAAAAGTTCTTGAAAAAGTTTTGCTGAACTTCACAGACTTGCAACAGGAATTGATATTGATTACTTCACCATATTGAGTTCTAATTAACTAAGTGCATTTACTGGTGTGAAAACAAGCATTTAATTTAACCCAGGGAATGTTTCTTTTAGTAACCAAACCCAACCAACTACAAACCTTCTGGCAGACCAGATTGGGGGTTAAATTCTAACCTGATTGTGCTGACAAAAAGGGGGATTATGTAGTTAGTAATTGCATTCCAAAGAACAGCATATTTTTGGCTTAGTCGAACACACAAGATTTGTTCTTCTGGCTGATTCTTGTAACCAAGGGCAGGTATGAGTCAGTTCTCTTAGAAAAGTCCCTGAAAGCAATGGTCCTCAATATGTCTTCCCAGATTAGCAGGGATGAACGACTGAGCAAACTCACAAAACTCTGGATCTAGAAATGTTCTTTCTTCTATTCTGCCATCTTTCAGACAATGTATTTATCTGAAAGCCGAAGTTCAGATCTAAGAATTTTCTGAAGATTTGCTAAGTAAAATTACAAAACAGTGCTACAGTTAGTTAACTTGATTTGGAAATAAAGTAAGATTTTTGAACACAAGCCTTTTGTGTTAAATTTCCACAAGTCATTAAGACATAGATCTAAACAGGGAATTAGATGCATACCTCCCACTTAAGTAATTAGAAATTACAACTACCTAAATAGGAAATTTGGCTCCCGTATTTATGTTATCCCTTATTTGTTTCTCAATCTTAGGCTTAGACTGTCCTTTCTAGCTCTCCTAATTTTTTGTTTAGTGACATCCTGGGCACATTTCAGGCAAACACCGACATTGATGATGATACTGCCCTCCTACTTAGGTATCTATGGCGCTAAAAGGTTACGAATTGCATTGGGGTGGGGAAATTTTCAGACTGCTCAATGCATTTCATGCTATCAATTATCATCATCACGTCTAAGTAGCTGCGGGAACAAGGTCAGGGCATTGCAGATGGATTTGGAAGGGCTTCATCCTCAGGAAGGAAGCAAGGCAGAGACAGCTTCAGAAACTGGGAGCAAGCTGAGTCTCTAGCCAAGCGAATGTGTGGTTGTAGGATGTCTAGGAGGTAGATTGATTACTGGCTGAGCATGTCCATGAGTTAGAGTGTGACTGTCAGGGTACTGACAAAGCAGCATCCTGCTGTGCGCAGCCATCCATTAGACAAGTGCCTAGGGTTGTCTCTGACAGAGGAAAGCTTCAGGTCAGTACAATCCACAGCGTCTTGTCCAAATAAGCCTCAATTTTGGTTACAAGTGATAAATTAAGGCAGAAAGCAGCACGATGCATTGAGAATTCTTGCACTTAAAAGGAAAAGAATTACTACTTTATTACCTACGTAGAAATTTCCTTTTTTTTTTCTTGTAACTCTTGAATGAAAGAGGAAAAAGTAAAGAAGTGCAGAGGTATACTAAGGGAGTGGGAAAGGCGACTGAAGTACATTCTTCCAGACTCCTTCATATCTGCTTTCTTTTGTCTCTAACTACAAGCTGCAAGCTGCACAGACTGATGCAGAGTGTGTCACGGATGAGATGCTGACATTCAGAGCAGGACAGTGATACTTCAGACTTGCAATAAGCAGTCTTGTCTACAGTGGAGAAACCCAACTGGTCAAACTCTATTATGAATGAATTGCCATGCCATAGTTTCAGATTCCAAGACAAAAACAGGAAGAGTTTGTCTCCAAGAAACATCTATGAAGCTGGGAATATACACGCTGCACAGCAGCATCTTGGCAGCTAAAGCTTCTCAAGGTCTAAAAATTGGTACTGAAAATAGTACTCAAAGGTGCTCAAGAGTCACTATTTTTTTCCTTATCAAGGATCCTCTCTTGACCAGTATCTTAAACAGTGAAACTAGCATTCCAGTTATGAATTATTCCAAACCCAAAGCCACTCTGCATTTCAGATTTGCATTCTATTATTTATGTTCTTTAAAATTGAAATTTCTTCCATACATTTGACCCACAGCACAGTGCCAGGTAACATCTGTGATCTTACAGGAAAAGGAGCATAACTGATGCTCAGATGTGCTGACATAGCACTCAGCATCGATGGTTTAGGTGAGTGATTCTGTCAATTCTTTTTGCATCCCTGATCCCCAGGACAGTAGAAGCTAATTCAGACCCTAGTGTAAATAAAGCCACCTGAGGCCAGTGTGAATTTTGACCGGGAGTATGGGCAGGCCAGCACAGTGTGCCAGTGCTGGGCAGAGGCAGGAGAAGCTGACACAGAGCTGCCTACAAATGCCGAGAATGGCTTAGTGCTTTACTCCTGTTTTACACTGCAGCACAAATGAAAATAAATGAAATCACGGAGCAGCCATGAATGTTTAACCCTCCAAATGTGGCTCCTAAAACTGTTACCTGTTTTTCTCCTCCTGCACAAATCTCTCTTAAATATGAGAATGGGATATGGATGCAATTATTAAGCATATGTTACCGTAAGTGTTAAAAACACAATGTATTTGCTGTCCTGCACATGAACAGAAAGCCATATTTTAAAATTCCAACACAGATTTTTTTTTTCATATTATAATCCAGAACAGGATAAGTCATGCACTTTCATTATTAATTCCAAAGGACTGGCAAAAGAATTTAACTGCACCAATGGAATTTTGAAGACCATACTGTATTTCAATCCACCAATAATACATATGATGCAAGTTAAAAATATGCGATCAATCAAAATATCTGAGAACCAAAAATCTAAAATCCTATGCATTTTACACCTCCAGCTCTGATACTATATACATTGGAGTCAGTATGCAAGTGACATATTGCAGAACATACAAAGTAAAATCCATAATTCCATCTCAGCTGCTCAGGACTTGTGTTCTGGTTCATACTACAAATAAAATGTGATTGGGAAGGAATCCAAGATGACTTATATGAAGTTACTTCTAATCTGTTTTTCACTGATTGCACTACTGTGCAATTTCTACTTACTCAAAATTCAACAACTATCAGGGGAGGTTTGCATAAGGGCTGCAGGTTGGGGACTGAACTTGTGAACAACTACTAGTACAATGAGAAATACTAATTGACTACAACAGTAACTCCCTCAGGGTATGGCAAAGCTTCCTTTGGAGGCAGTGAAGAAGGAAAAAGCCAGATGTTCTCATATCACAGCATGAGGCATCACGAACTCTAGAATTGTACATGCTTAGTCAGATGTAGACTATAAGTAATCTATTTGTCTAGAATCTTGATTTTGCTTGTTTCCTGAGGCGTGACGTACACAGAATATTCTCAATGAAGTATTATTCAGTCCTGGGACTAGCGCCGTGGGACGGGTTACATCGTGTGTATGGAGCAGGCAGCAAAGTACATCCCCCTGTGGAACACACCGGAGGGCCCTTGTGTCAAAGTGTGGCACAGAAGGTGGCCCCCAGGCAGACTAGTCCCAGTCCATGCACTGATTGCTACCGGTGTAAACCACACTCTTAAAGTGCTTTGCTGTACATGTCCTCACACATGCTGCAGACTTTTCTAGAAACATGATTTTTAATAGGTACTTCTAGTAGATACAAAATCCAACATTTCAATTTTATATCAGTGTCTATAAGTACCTCAAGGGAGGCAGTGAGGAGGATGGTGCTGGCCTCTTTTTCACTGGTGGTCACCAACAGAACTAGAGGAAACGGCCAGAAACCAGAGCATCAACAGTTCCACAGGAACTTAAAGAATAATTTCTAGACAGTGAGGATGACAGAGCCCTGGAACAGGCTGCCCAGAGAGGTTGTGGAGTCTCCTTCTCTGGAGATCTTCCAAACCCGCTTGGACGCAGTCCTGTGCCACGTGCTCTAGGTGACCCTGCGTGTGCAGGGGGGTTGGACTAGATGATCTCTAGAGGCCCCTTCCAACCTTAAGCATTCTGTGGTTCTATGATTCTACATCAAGGAACCACAGGCTTGTACATTTGTGTGAGGAACTGTTATGGCCACAACCCCAGTAAAACAATCTTTAAGTGGTCAATGCTGTCACAGAGGAGTTCGTGTCTTGGTGACACTTGTCGCAACTGCAGCCAACACTTAGGTCTGTAGACATAAACAGGCGAACTTTTGTCAGGAAAGAGCCCTCAGTAGTTGTCTTGCCAAGTTGTATTGCTTGCTACTCAGGAAGGATTCCTTTGGTCTGTGTTTCGATTCCCAGGAAAGTCTGCAGTAGCTTTACTTCAGCTAACCATGATCTGTCCTTCAGCTCAGAGGCCTGAAGTGGGGACAACAAACAAAAAAAGGAGAGGGAATGAAATTCAAATCACTGCAGCAGAATTATGCTAGGTCACACTATCAACCTGGAAGGATCACCATAACTGGAGGGACCACCATAAAATGCTCTGACATAGTGAATACAGAACCTGATACATCAGGGACCTCCTGGGAGCCAGAAAAGGTGATTGCAGTGTCAAGGGCATCTCCCAGTGCAACCTTTCAGTGCAAAGTAAGAAAAACAACAAGGCAATAAGGCAGCTCTGTAAGAAATTCGGAAAACATGAGTCCTAACTGAATGGAACCAAGAACTCCAAGCAAGAAGCTGATTTTTTTTGCCAGCTATCTGTCTGATGTTCTTCTTGCAGAAGGGGATGAGGAGAGAAAAAGGTGATTTAATTCTCTCTTACCTTTCAATTACATCAGCTTCTGTATTCTGCTCAGACGCTAGTTCTGCGTAACTCAGAGATAGATTTAAACCCACAACTGGGCCCACAATACTCAACCATGACGCAATGTAATTTGTCTGCCTAGAAAACAAACAAACAAAAACATATTACTCAAACTTCTCTGAATTGCAGGTATACTTGACAGTCATAAAGTAATTTCAAATGAGGCTATTCTTTCACTTCATATTAAGACTATTTTATTTTTTCAGCTTTTAAGCGACAATCCAGAATTTTATCCCACGTAGACCAGGGGAGTTGTCTTAACCATATCTATTTAACAGTTGCTTTTGCCTTACACCCACTACGTAAAACCTCACAAAGCAAAATTAATGTTTCTCACCTATTCTCTTTTCGTGAGCTGGTCAGTACAGCAGACATGAATTCATTAGTCCGGCAAGGATGTAGGACAAAAAAGGGTTGCCCAAGTAAGGGATGCTCCTAAGAAAAAAACTCAGTAACTTTATTATTCAAAAAAGGGCAACAGAAAAGACACAGTTTGCATAGCAAAAAAAAAAAAAGACACAGCAGTCCACTTAATCCTTAGCATATTTTTTTGTATCTCAGAATTTAATCCACATTGTTATTCTAATGATATGATCATTGGAAAATTAATGTTTGAGCACATATTCTCGTATCTAATCCAATCAGGTTATGTCATAGCGTCAGTTAAAATATAAAGGTTTTCAGAGCAGCTCCAGTTACCTCAAGTATCAGCACTACCTGAAGGCAAACAGCCAAAGCTACAGTGTAAACAAGAGTTTCATGAAATGTGGCACATAAAACAAAGAAGCTCCATAAAAAACTCCAAATAGCTTTGATTCTTTGTCCTTGGATCTTGTCAAATAATGCCAGGAAGTAAAATCTAAGTAAAATTTAAATGTCTGTGAGGTAATGCAAGAAAGAAGAAGGCATAGCCCTCAGAAGGACTTTAACTTCCACTAGGTGGGATGTCCTTCTTTTAGGCTAGAGTAGTAGAAAAGGTCCTAAAATGCAGTTGTCTCCCAAGAACCTCAGCAAAAGTCATCCACAAATATATATATATATAGTGACAATTAAACTTGCAGTCAGTCTCCCTACAGTATGATAAAGAAGACTTTCTGTGTTCCTTTCCACCTAGCACACGATGCTATTGAAAACTCAACACGATGCTCCATAAAGCTTTCCCTTCCACCTCCAAGAGATGCTCAAACAGAACACATGTCCTGACGTAGCCAAGCCTGCACTCAGTGCAAACCACACGAGCCATCTCACCTGCCCCTGCGCTGGTGGCACCAGCAGAGCAGCACAGCTGTGCCACACTCCCTGCATTAGGCAAGTCATTTTCCTTTACTGCTGCTGAGGTCACTGCTACTGCTGTAGCACCAAAATAAACAAATCCTACTTCATGCCCATACTCAGTAAGGAGCATTTAATACAGCACCATGGGGAATAGGTGGAAAGTGATTCCGGAGAAGATGTCAAATTTGAAACACTGTGATAGCCAACTACAGCTGAACCCAGACTGTGTTTAGTTGTGGCCAGAGCTGACAGGCACATGATACAAGGTGGAGGGGTGAGGAGAACTGGTCATGGACCATGACTGCAAGAGTAACAGGATCACCACCTCCATCTGGTGCTTCTTGATCAGCTGTGGTCCAGCGGCCTGTGCTATTCCCAAGGGCCACCGCAGACACTGCCTCTGAGGACTGATGTAATGGGTGTTTTATTCTGAATAAAGGTCCTTTTCCTTAGCTCTTCTCTTTCTGCTGGCTCTGTCTCTGGACGGTGAAGAAGAAACTACACTAAGTTTGTGCTCCTGGAGGAGCTGCCTTTGAGCAGCCTGGTGCAGCTGCTCTCGGATTCCAGAGGATCCGTGAGTGCCTTTTAGAGCCCTTCTGCTACACCATGAAAACTCCTTCTCCAGCTCCTTGCCCGCAAACAAAAAACAAATCCTGTCCCACCAGATGTTCTTCTGTCATCTCCAGAGACTAGGACATGTTCCATATTATTAAATATTAAATCACATCTCTTACAGTTGAAGGACACTTGGTTCTTATGCTGAAATGTACTCAAGAGGATAAACCATTTTGTTTCTAAGAGAACTTTAAATAACTCCCAGAAGCTTCAGTACATATAAAAAATAATGTTCAGAAAGCTTTGTTTTACATTTCAGTGCAAACGGATAACTTATGCAAGAATGCTACCATCTGCTGTCCATAATAGTGAACTGATGCTCTTTGCCACTGAGAAAAACTGCCAGTTTGCATTAAGAATCCTTTCTAATTATATGCTGACTTAAATGACACTATGTCCCCCAAATAATGCTTGAAAAGACAGAGTTCGTGCCAATGGTATTCCTCAAAGATAACAAAAAAAGATAGTTAATTTTTATGAAGCTGTTAAGCAGGAAGGAAGAAAAGATAAGAGCAAGTAACAATTTCAGCCAACTTCCTTATACGAAGAAAAAGTGTAAAGAGAGAATAGATGTTCCCCAAAGAAATGAAAAAAAATCATCTGGGCTTCAAATGCATGCCATAAAACCAATTTTCAAAGATGACCATTAAGACAAGTCATTCCCAGTTATCCTTTGCCCTGATCTTTTGTTCTATCCTGAATTTCTTGCTTGAGCAAATCAGCAGTGAGTGAGCAATGGAGACCAGGGCTGCTTTTTGTGAAACAGATTATTAACCTTATTCTACATCTTTCTTCTTTTAGTTCTTCTTACAACATGGTAGAGAGAGACAGGAAAACCTCTCAAAGTCTAACAATCAGGTATATATGTGAAAAAGCATCACTGTTGACTTTTTCAACAGAGCAATGTCTTTGGTTCCCCCATGTCTGATATCAATTTATGGGATAGGAAACCTGCTCACACTCCACATTCCCTGCAGTCTCTCCACTAGTCTTCAAGGAGGTGGAAAGGCACTTTATTTCCTTCCTGATCCAGCGGCTATAAAGGGAGAGGTGTTTGTTACAGGATCAAGACATCAGCTCCTGGGTTGGTATCAAGCCTCTGAGAACATTTAATTTCAGTTACTCAAACTCTCCTCCTAACTAGTCCCCTATGTTCTCCTTTGAATATTATCACAGGTTGCTTCCTACACTTTCTGAAGCAACAGGACTGCCAGAGTGACCTAAATCTCACCGTAATCCATAGAACTATGAATTGTAAACCAGAAATCACCTAGGAGTTTTATTAACTTCTTACTGGCCAGGCTCTGCGAATGGCAGATGCCCTAAAGGTGCCTTTTTTAAACATTCAGGAAGACAGAGTGTCTTTGGTTTCCAGTTAGTAGGGTATCTTTGCAAACAAAGTGCTCTCAATTATTTGTTTACTTCCAATCCAGGAAGCTGAAATTCATTATTACACTGATCCTTCAGCAAATACAGACTACAGGCATCATCTCAAGAACAGTTGTGTTAAAGTGGGAATTTTTCAATAAGCTTACTGCATGCATGTGTTTTTTTCACCCTAAATAACAGGGGTGAAATAGAAAGAATGCCACTCTGCTCAGAACTGCTGAAAGCCTAAAAAATAGGAATATGCCACACACTGCATATCTGACAGGAAAAATAGAAAAGCACAAGAGTTTAAAAGAAATCTTGAGCCAAGGCCCATTAAGCAGGAGCTCACAAAAGCCTCTAAAAAGGGAAAAGGCTGAGGCAAGGAAGAATAGCTGTTAAACAATCTGGGAAAACATTCCGATAGCATCAGATCTGATTCAGTCAAATCCTAAAATCCAAATCCTGTACATAATGGCATCCCCACGAGGCTTAATGTACACTCAAGGTTAAATCACTGACACAGCACTCTGAGGAGGAAGTATCACACATCTGCCAATAAAAATGTAAAGAGTTATCAAAACACTGAATTTTGGAATTGACAGTGGCCTAGAGAGGCTTTTTATTGCCAGGTCGCCAGCTCAAACCTGGCAGAGGCTGTCAGGAGCCAGAAATGCTTATGGTGCAATGGCTGCATTGGCAATTGTCAGGTTTTAGGCAACGAAAGGCATTAATTAGTGCCCTTGGTGGTAGGCGTTGCAGGTGAGCTCAGGACTGGAGATGGTGCTTCATCTTGTCACCCTGGGGGCAGCCCGTGCAGGTCAGCCCTGCAGCACCCTGGCAGCAGAACCAGGAATCTCACACTCTTACTGCTCTTTGTACGTCTCAAGGGTTGCAAATCCCCACTACGATGAATCCCAAGTCTTTCTCAAATGCTATCAAAACTGCATCTTGCAAGAGTGAATAGAAGTTTGTTCTGCATCAGCTTCACGGGCATATTTACTATCCACTGCAGCCATATGATGGAATGATGATATTCCATGCGTAGTGAAATGTGTCCTGAGCTAAATTCCCCAGCAGCAATGCTAGCCTTCAGCCACTCTGATCTCTGCATCAGTTACATGGAAAATACCAAGTAATACAGGGATTTCAGGCAAAAATTCAATCTAAATAATAAGCAATCGTCTCATATTTTAGTTTAGAATTAATCTTTTTTTTTTCCAATATGTCAAGTAGAAATAGACTTTCAGAGCAATGTGTGCAAGTTTCAAGCCAATAACCACAATTGCTTGCTGGCAGTGTACAAAAAGAACCCATCTATGGGTTGCTCAACTCTTCTGGACAGTAACGGACTGACAGACGGAGAGAGTTTATTTGAAATCAACAATATTATTTTCTTCAGTGACTCATAATACCATCTGTTCAGCAGCATACATTAGAATCCATCATACATCTGCATATCCCTTCTGAGCGTGGCCCCACTTTCATGGGAAATTGAATTTTCACAAGCAGCAGTGAGCTCCAGTGAATTTGTAACCTCAAGATGTTGCTTCATTTACCTTCTGCAGAAAGACCTCTTTATTAGGTGACAACAAGAAAGATTTGTAAGGATGTTCACTACCCATTTCCGTAGCTGTTACCTCAACTTCCATCACACAAACCCATATAAAAGACAGATGGATGAAAGATGTGAAATGTTGCATTGGGTAGTTTGAAAATGACTGCAGTTTTGCTTAGGGATGCGACACAAGACTGAATGGGACCGGGTGCTGGCAGCACAACAGCTCCCTGTCCGCTGGGCACCTGGAACCATCCGTGCACATCTCCTGGGCTGCCTCATGGCGAGGTGAAACTGGCGAGCTCAAACACTGAGGTTTATGCTAGACAGTGCGCCTGAGCCCTGGGCCACAGCCACAGGCTCCCTGAGGACTGAAAATCTTTTCATTTTAGCAGCACCTACTCCTATATGGTGTAAGAAGGCCCATCCTTATAAAGGTTCTCAGGGATGTGAAGACTTGATCTTTCACCCATTCTGTCATCATCTATTAATGAAATTGGACTGTCCCTTCCAAGGTCATGAAGGTTTAAAATGTAAAATCGTAACTTCCTCTCCTATCTTCTGCAATACCTATAATGCTGTGAAATGTTAGACATGAATCTGAGCAATGGCAATAATT